TAAATTGATAGTGGTCAATACATTCTCCCCGTGCTGCAGTGCGTCGCGCAGCTTTTCCACACATATTTTAATGGGTGGATAACTATAATAAAACAGGTATGCCTAGGGCCAAAAGGCTCTGCTTCAGTATGGTTTGTGTCAAGCCATTCATTAATCTGGCTGTTTGATGAAGAGATAAAATGTAGTAGAAATAAACATGTTAAGAATCAATAGAAGCGGAGGACTATTATTAAGGTTTTTTTTAGGACTATTATTATGTTGTAATGTTTGGTTGACCAATTAGCAGAGAGGGGCGTTTCATTCCCGCCCACATGTAGAGATCGAATATTCAAGTTGTTTATTCGTTTTCTATCCCTGAATGTAAAAACGAAAAATTAAGCCGGATTCTTGATTTTTCGTTTTGTTTGAATAATTGAAAAACTAAATATGTGCCCATTTTTCAGATTTCAGATTTCAATATTAAAACAAAAATTGATTGGACGGAAGATACCCTGATTGGGGCGTTACATTTCCGACGCGTGCTTGTGGTGTTCGGCCAATCACAATGCACTGGGTCAGCTGGCCAATCAGAGCAGACTGGGCTTGTCAAAGGCTGGGGCTTTATTGAAAACCAGGTGTTTGAGAGAGGCGGGGCATAGAAGACCTACAATAATCAGAATCAGAATGAGCTTATTTTTTATATAATGTACAGTATTTGAAAAAGTATGTGTTTTTTGAACATTAAAGCATGTCAACATATTCTGATACACCAAATACACCAAATAATGATCTTTAAAATAGCATCCTATGACCCCTTTAAAATGAGTGGAAAGAGGAACGGAGAGAGTTCCGCAATCTCGAAAACTGATAGCATTATATACTTTGTGGGCGTGGTTTGTCGGCTGTGGACAGTATACAGTGGGCGTGGTTTGTCGGCTGTGGACAGTATACAGTGGGCGTGGTTTGTCGGCTGTGGGCAGTATACAGTGGGCGTGGTTTGTCGGCTGTGGGCAGTATACAGTGGGCGTGGTTTACATTATTGCCGGAAGCAGACCTATCATGAAAAAACGCCCATTGCTTTACCGCGCTGTTCTGAGAACAGGAAACGGCGCTTAGTTCAATTTTACACCATCAGCAGACATTTCTGTCTGTCATCATCTTTTATACCTGTTTCATTACACAAACTGACTGACGCGCACAGTTATTGGTTAAACATGTAGGCTACTCCTCTGTAATTGTCGAGCTCATCATTTCATAACGTTATTTGTTATGTGTTATGTTTCGCAGCAGTACGTACAGATTCACAGGCTGTGAGTCAGAAGTGGTTTGTAACGTATGCGTTAGTAGGCGAGGTTCTCTCTCTCTCTCTCTCTCTCTCTCTCTCTCTCTCTCTTCACTGTACCGCACTGTGTGCTGTAGTTCTGCAGCCACGTCGCAGACAGAGACAGCATCGCCCTTACGTGTGTGTGTGTGTGTGTCTCTCTCTCTCTCTCTCTCTCTCTCTCTCTCTCTCTCTCTCTCTCTTCACTGTACCGCACTGTGTGCTGTAGTTCTGCAGCCACGTCGCAGACAGAGACAGCATCGCCCTCACAAGCCTCCTTCTCTTCAACTACTACAGCCGCCCAACTGCACCGATAACGAGTTTATCTCCTCGTACAGTTCGTCAGACATTGTGTTCACACATTTTTATTTAAAAAAAGAGTTACTCGTTACAGATAAGTTGAGAGTAGAGAGAGTACAGTCTCGGCTGTGGTCATGGTGAGTAGCTTGCTTGCTAACTTATGTCTCAAACTTGCTGGCTTAGTGTTTAAAAAGGGTTACAACAGTTTCCTTTAGCGGTTAAGCTTTGCAGTTTGTCGTCTGACCTCCAAACGTTTGTTCCAGTAATTGCTACTTACTCGCTAACCAGAGATTAAGGGAAATAGAGATGATTATACAGTCTATCTATCTATTTACACCTTTTTATACACTCTTTGCATTTAATAATTGCTAATAACATGCATATGAAGATTGTGTATGAATTACATATACATTACACGTGTATACACCCATTATATAATGTTTTTTGCATTCAACTTACGCTATAGGAACCAGAGGATGTTCATTTCAGGTCAGCAGAACATTTGATAGGTGAGGAAGAGAATGAGAAAGCAGCGCTCGAGAGGAAGGAGGATGGAGAGGAGCCCCGCAAAGCAGGGAGAGCACCGCTGTCCCGCATCCCTACCTTTCAAAGCTCCCTGGGCCGCAAGCGAGTCACCGTCCAGAGTGCAGAGTCATCGCCGAAGACGGATGGATCTATCCAGCAGGGCCAAAAAGAGGGAGCTGGCTCTACAGAGGCTGGAAGAGTGAAAATGTCAGGATCTGGAGGGAGAGAAACAGGCCTGCCCGTCCCATCGGCTCGTTTACACACAAGCCTCGCTGATGTCCTCCCTCAAGGGGAAATCTCGGGTCACACCTCCTCTCTTTTAGCTCCGAAAATAAATCAACCTCTTGATCAAACGCCTGAGATTACAGAAGACTCTGATCAGCTTGATATGTCACTAAAACGACCCCCACTCAGGAATGTCTATGAGACCTCTGATCTTGTCATAGAACCCGCAAGCGGAGAAACCATCTCAGAAGATGAGCAGATGTCGGCGCAGGATGCCGTCGTAGAGGATCTGAGCTCACGCTCCTCTGTTGATCAGGATGTGGCATCTGATCAAGCTTGGGAAGAAGATCCTTTGAGAGAGGACTTTGGAAAAGGAGGTGTATCCCGATCACATTGGACAGAAGAAAATAGCGTCACAGGGAATGATGTGAAATGTGTGGAATGTGTTCCAGATAAGGATGATGGATCCATACTTAGTGGTCAAGATGAAACAGCTAAGATCCAGAAACCTTCAGATAGTAAAAAATGCTTTAAAGAAACACAACAGGGAAGCCAAACTGCCGATACTTCTCACACAAAACACACCAAGACCAAACCGTGTACACCCTCCAAGGTGAGGTGAATCATATTTCGTAATTAATGGTGTTTGCTAAAGCGAGAATACTATTGTTCATAAGGGTTGGAGATTTCAACAAACCTCTAATCCTAAATATTAAACTTCATCCAGCACTGTTTGTGCTGCCTAAACCATGCTTGTTGAGGAGAGGCGTGCAGACATGCAATTTTCTCCTGGTGGATGATAAAATGTTTTTTTTAACCTAACATTTACCTTGAAAAAAGGAATCAAACTGCAAAAAATGAGTTTCTTTTGTTTTCCAGTACGAATATCTAAGATACATTTACTTAAGAAACAAAATGACATACCATGAGTCATTTTGCTCCTCAAGTACATTTTTAGATATTTTTACAAGACAAAAATATTAAGTAAGAAAATTAAAGCCATATATACAGACCAGAATGTCTTTCTCTGATTTGATTCTCTGATCTCTTTGATTTGCATACGTAAACAAATTTTTGAGACTAGTTGCCTTGACAAGTATTTGTTTCGCCATCGAAACACAACAGAATTCCAGCAGAAGAGGATATGTGAAATTAAACAGCCACAATCTCTACTCATCACTAACAGAGATATACGTATATCTTATTGGAAAGATGTTTGCATAAGTAAACAGAAGGCCTATTTGTTTTAATTTAATATCACCAATTTTCTTTTGTTTTAGCAGACGAAAGGAAGGAGCTTTTCCCTTTTCTGTCTCCTGCCCACCATTCTCCTCCTTTTGGGTGGATTTGCATCGCACGTCTGGCAGTATGGAGTCCCTAAATCTGTGTCACACCTGATGTCACAACTGGAGCTGCACTGGTTGGAAAGTTTCTGGATGCCTCAAGAGACATGCATCTCTGACTGTAGGTGAGGAAACGGGTCCTTTTCATATTTTTAAGGATTTAAATGGTGAGTTTGAGATGTTAATGTGTTTCTAAACGCTCCCTATCAGGCTTACTCTTGTTGAGAGTGTCCCTGAGGGCCTCAGCTTCCCTTCCGGCTCGCCACACCTGCCGAGCATTTCAGACACTTGGACTAAACTGCTAAAGAAAGCCAACCGCTCTGTCCACATTGGTGCTTTCTATTTCACACTCCGAGATTCAGACCTTGGCCTTACGGAGCCCTCGTCTGTGCTGGTATGATCAGTTGTGGATATTTCACTGTGCAGAAGTGTTGAATAATGTACTGTGAAGGATAGGATAATACTGATTCTGATTATATGAGAAGGCATTTCATTTATTATATCCTTTCTATAGGGCAAAAAAGTGTTCAACCAACTGAAGCAGCTGGAGCCAAATGGAGTGAAGTTGAAGATTGCTGTCAACGCCCCTCAGCCATACATTGCAGACACAGATGAACTGGTAGCAACAGGTACAACAACAGCGTGCCTATTGCACATTTGCATGCAGCACGTGAAAACGTATACATTGAGAAAAGTGAACGATTAAATGGTTTGGAATGGATGTTATGTACTTTAGCTTTCTTGCTTTGTGCTTTCTCTCAGGGGCTGAGGTCAGGGGAGTTGACCTGCAGAGCATCACTGGAGGCATTTTGCACACCAAACTATGGGTTGTGGATAAGAAACACATGTATTTAGGGAGCGCAAACATGGATTGGCGTTCCCTTACCCAGGTACATTGTGCAGCATTATTTGACTGGTCAAAAGGTTTCTGTTGACATGCAAATATGCATGGTCAGTGTGCATGCAGGTCTTTGACATGTAAATGTGTTCGTGATTTTATGATATTTTACATAATTTTTTTATTATTTATTTTGTTTAAATAATTGTATTTTTTATTTATTATCCAATGCAGTTTATAAGTCTTAAATAAATAAAGTATGATATATAATAAAGTGACGTGACATGTGGCCAAGTATGGTGACCCATACTTGGAATTGTACACGCACAGCAGTGAACACACACACACACCCAGAGCAGTGGGCAGCCATTTATGCTGCGGCGCCCGGGGAGCAGATGGGGGTTCAGTGCCTTGCTCAAGGGCACCTCAGTCGTGGTATTGAAGGTGGGAGAGAGCGCTGTACATTCACTCCACCCACCTACAATCCCTGCCGGTACAAGACTCGAACCCACAACCTTTGGGTTACGAGTCAGACTCTCTAACCATTAGGCCATGACTTCCCCTAATATCAATATCAAAATGGCTATTAATAATCAGTCCTTAAAAATATATATGCATATAGTATAGAAGAATAATCAATGTTTCTAATAGGTGAAAGAGGTTGGAGTGTCTGTGGAAGACTGCAGCTGTCTAGCACAGGACGCCTCACGGATATTTGACGTGTACTGGGACGTTGGAGCTCAGAAGAATGGATCTCTACCTCCTTTCTGGCCGGGCCGTTTCTCCGCCCTCTCCAGTTCTAAGTACCCATTAGCTGTTAAATTCAACGGTGTCCCTGCACGTGTCTATTTGTCTGTGAGTCGAGTTTCTCTCACAAGTTGACTTCATTTGTATGGTCTTGTTTATGTTTACCATATTCATAATATCTTTTCATTGCATGTTTTGCAATAATTTTATTCAACCTGTTCACATTTCCACTTATTCTCTGGCTTTTTTGCTGACTGATTTTCATTTATTCCATGTGTCCATTTTACGTATTGTGTAGAAATGTTGTCTTTTTGTCATATTGCCACCTTTTTCACTTAAGAAAAATCATGCTTTTTAATGAATACATTGCATGGTCAGTATATGTTCATCATGTTCATTTTCATTCATTTCTAAACGTGACGCATGCATTTTTAGCGTCTGCAGAAATGTGTTCTTAGTATCACATGACGGTTTTTGACTTGTTCTTATAGAGTTCCCCTCCTTCTTTATCATCATATGGCCGTTCTGATGATCTCTCAAGCATCCTGTCAGTAATTGCTGATGCTGAGCGGTTCATCTATGTGTCTGTGATGGACTACCTTCCCATGTCCCAGTTCACGGAGCCCATTCGGTAATCTTTAGCATTTGATATTCAGTCAGGGTTATTGTAGTTTATAGTTAAAGGGGTCATATGAAGCGATTTCAAGTTTTCCTTTCTCTTTGGAGTGTTACAAGCTGATTGTGCATAGATAAGATCCCTGAAGTTGCAAAGACTAAAGTCTCAAAACCAAAGAGATATTCTTTATCAAGTATATAAGTTAAGACTCTGCCACGCCCCCCTAAAACGGCTCGTTCTAACACACCCCCACATATCTACCTCACTATGTGGAAATATTTGCATAATGCCGCCCAAATGTGCACGCAAAGAAAGAAGGCGTGGTTTCAGTAACCACAGTTAGTGTTGAAGCAGTCATGTCAGGGAGACGCTGTGTGTTTCTAGGTGAAAGTCTCCTGGTGCCATGTTTGTTTTCCTCCAGTCTTTATCAGTCCTCAACAAGCCCCCTCTGAGCTGCAACATTCATGCTGTACGTCTCTGTGTGCTCTTTACATCTTTTTTTTTTCATCCAGCCATCACTGGTGATTTAATGTCTAAAACGTTTTATTTCACAGAAAGTTTTTGAGGTGCCTTCAACACGAGAGCAGCAGAGGATCCCGTTTGCGCGTGTCAACCATGCCAAGTACATGGTGTCTGATCGAGTTGTTTACATCGGTATGTTCGCTGTTTCCTCTCGACATGTACAAGTATATATATATATATATATTGTCTGTCATTTCAGATCAGGTGAAACAGGTGTGTATTCAGTTTCACTGCTAATTTAAGAAAAATAAATGTTGGACTCCAACACAAAATCATTTAAAATGTCTTCCATATATGTGTATAACAAACAGTATTTTATTAATCAACAAATTATGAATTAACATAAAAAAAAACCTTTGTCTCAAAACCAAGTGAGCCCCTTACTTAAATTAACCATGGTTTTTATTATAGTAAATTTGTGTTTGTTTGTGTTTGTGTGTGTGTGTGTGTGTGTGTGTGTGTGTGTGTGTTTGGCGGACTGATTTGTATAACTACAAATACTATGGGTAGTGTGGCAAAACCATGGTTAACTTGTGGTTACCACAACTAACTAAACCACAAATAACCGTTGTTGTTTTTTTAATTTGTAGTAAAATCGTGGTTAATTTTCGTAAGGGTTATAACTCCCAAATATGCTGCTAATAAATCCCCAAAACATGCTGTCTAGGCAGGCAGCTCGCTAGGTTTTGAGACACAGCCCGCGTCTCCTCGCAGGAAGTGAAGGCGGAGGAAGGAAGACGATAAACATGGCACGAGAGAGAAGCCCAGCTCTGTGGCTTCACCCTCAAACAAGTGCAACTCGTAAAATGCCGGTGTGCCACAGAACACTCCTGCTTTTATGGCTTCTCCACTTTTCTTCCGTATATTCAGATATAACGGACGGGAATGCGGAGCACTTAAAGCGGGAGCACTCGCTCATTAAGCCATATCAGGGTGAGTAGCTGCTGTAGCCTGCAGCACGCACTGAAGTGCTTCACTTTTCTGTTCACTACGGAAATTAGGATGTCACCCGAGTTACTTTGTAATGCCTTGGTTCATGTCTTTTATTAGGAACGTGTAATTCGGGATATAGTAGGCTACAGTCGAGTGTTTACAGTGACAGCTCAGTGTAAACAAACTAGTTCGGCTTTATTTGAACAGGTGAGGACAGCTTGCTTTTATACTGCAGGCTGGAAAGAAATCCACCTTCCAAGGGAGAGCATGCAAATCATCAGTATACTATTTAATAATACAATTAATAAATGCATAGTTAAGACTTTGATGACTGTTTTGTTTCATATAACGTTAATGGAATCCAAATATCTGAACAAAAGCTATTTTTTTTAACATATTTTACATTTACATTGTGCTAAACCTGATGATCTTGTTCTCCAGCATTATGTGAGGAAGACCTAAAGAGTATCTTATGACAAAAAGTCACACAGCAGTGTCACGGATACAAAATATTTTGCATTCGTTTTATATCATAAAAAAAGTATTAAATACTAATACTTTGAGTGCATTTCCAGATGCACTGTAAAACAAATATCTCATTTCATTTACATTAATAACTGTGAGCTTACTGTAAAAATACTGACAGTATTGCAGGATGCCTGTATGTTTTACAACTAATAGAAAACGTAGATTTTATAAAGTGATATAATGATATAGTGTCCTGTCCATAAAAAATGGCCAATACTTGTATGTAGAGGAGTATTGGTCATACACACTAAACACCATCAGTCAAACACGCATGACACTAAAATAATGCAATAAATAATAATTAAATAACATATGTAAAACAAAACCCCTAATGATAACAAATATAAACTAAATATAAAAAATAAAATCATATGTGATGTCACAAAGGGGCTTATTTCATTGTAAATGATATGGTGATTCATAGTTTTAACTTACAACTTGTAACTTTTTTTTTTACAGTGCATAAATACATTTTTCAATTATAAAATTTTCATTGTGGTCTCATGCTTTTGAACCCCACTGTATGTGATGAGACTCATTTTTATCTCAGAATGTTCTCATAAGCTTCACATTGCACTCAACTTACCAAAACACTGTAAATAAGTTTAGCAAAAATTATATGATCGTTGATGTGTCTTGCGTCAGGTGTTGGAACGAGTTCATCAAGTCAGTGGGACTTTCGGGGAAGTACTTTAGTAACCAGCCAGTATGTGCGTCTGACTCCGGATGAGAGGAGCAAACAAGGGTCCATCTGGAATACAGTGGTGAGTAAAACTGAACTAAAAATCGAAAATTGTCAGAGAAACAGTTAATGTGACGCACCTAAATAATGCAAAACTAAGTTGAGTAATGTTCATTTTCCCTCTCTGCAGCCCTGCTATTTGATGGATTGGGAGATGCATGTGCAGTTTAAAATTCATGGATCAGGAAAGAAGAATCTCCATGGAGATGGTTTTGCCATTTGGTACACGAAAGACAGGCTACATCCTGGTACGTCTGTGAAGAAAAACTGAAGGTTTCGATCCCGTTCGAAGCACTTTCTCCACCATTTCATGAATTGAAATGTAATGAGTTCTAATGCTGTCTACTGTATGTGTGTGTAGTCCATGTACACGTGTGTGTGTGTGTGATCCATCTGTAAGTCTGCTCTTTCTTCCCTGCAGTTGATTGTGTCATACTTTCATTTAGGCCCAGTATTTGGAAACCAAGACCATTTTGTAGGCCTGGCTATTTTTGTGGATACCTTCCGTAATGATCTACAAGGAATGGATGTAAGTGTGCCGTACTCGCGGGTCCTTCTTTCTCTGCAGGCACCTTGTTTGGCAATAGTGCCAATTTCCATGGGTTGGCCATTTTTATAGACGCGTACCCTAACGATGAGGCTCCGAATGTGAGTTGAGAGATGTAAAATGTTTGTGTTTTTGTACCTTCATTTGAATGAAAGCTTTGCTTTATCATTATCAGATAAACTTGAGATTAGATACAAAGATATCTCTTTCCAAAAAAGCTAGTATTTATGGGAATACTGGATTTTTGGCATGTTTGTCCTGCTTCTGGTCATCGGCTTTGTCCTCGCGTGGAAACTGATTTAAAAGGGATAGTTTGAAAATGATTATTTGCATTCAGATGTAAAACTGAGAAATGATCCTGGGAGTAGATAAGAATATCTTTTATTTGAACTATCCCTTCCCTTTTTTTTTATTCACTATATGTTCTTCAATAAATCTTTCAAACTATTTTTCCAAAACACTACAAATAAGCAATGCTTTCTTTGTTTTGCCTGCATTCTGTGGTTCATATCATTTACTTGCGCTCATCATTCATTATTTGTTGTTGAAGCATTTCAGTTAATTTGTATTTACAGTGCTTATTGTTTTGATTTTAGTAGATTTCAGTGACCTTTTAGATCATTCTGTTTTACACAAGCTGATTCAGGAACAGCTGGATAAGGGTACAATGTACCATCCTTTAGTAATTTACATTGCATTTTTCTGTCAAAAATATAGGTAAAAATCAATGTAATACATTTCATTCATATTCTTTGGTCCTCTAGCGCTCGTTTCCCTATATTTCTGCGATGGTGAATAATGGCTCCCTGCCGTACGACCACGGGCAAGACGGTCGGTCTACTGAATTGGGAGGCTGCTCTGTGGAAGTCAGGAACCAAGATCATGACACATACCTGGCCATTAGATACTCCAAAGGCAGACTCACGGTAAGATTCTTTGAATTCAATATGCACTGATTCTTATTTAAGCTACATAAGTTATTTAGGTAAGAGCAGTGAGTGATTTTCTCTGCCTTTTGTTCATGGCCCCAAATATTGCAAGCTGTAGCGATATATACATTTGCGATATTTCGATATATTGCACAGCCCTATATGACGGTAATGCAAATACAGTGATAAAGAATCAGTAAGAATTTTTTTTTAATGTTTTTGAAAGTCTCAAGTTGCCGTAAAAACAGCAATTTTACTTTATTTTATATGAAATATTTTTACAATTTAAAATAATTGTTTTCTATTTTAATATATTTTTAAATGTAATTTATTTCTGTGATGGAAAAGCTGAATTTTCATCAGCCATTGCTCCAGTCGTCACATGATTATTCTAATATGATTTGGTGCTCAAAAAACATCGGTAACACTTTACACTTAGTTGGACTGTACTGTTTTTAACGTAAATAGCCTTGTATTTAAAAAAGTATCACCCGAATGTATTTTGTCTAGTATTAGCCTTAAATGCCTTTTAGTTTCTTTTTAATTGTATGACTGTTGTTATTTATTCTGGTTTCGCAATGAAGATAGCCTTTCTGCTGACATGGTGTTAAAGCTTTACAATTAGGCTCCACTTTTAAAATAGTTCTCACGACCTAATAAAAATATTTTTAAAAGCATTTATTAGTCCTAGTTGATGATAATTCTAACAGTTACTAATACATTATTAAAATCAAACGTTGTACTGTTAATATTATTTAATGGACTTGAGCTAACATGAAGTACATTTGTATTTTTATTAAATAACATTAACAAAGATGAATAAGTACTGTGATAAATGTATTGCTTATTGTTAGTCAGTGCATTAAAGGATTCGTTCACTTTCAAATTAAAATGTCCTGATAATTTACTCACCCCCATGTCATCCAAGATGTTTACGTCTTTCTTCAGTCGAAAAGAAATGAAGGTTTTTGAGGGAAACATTCCAGGATTTTTCTCCATATAATGGACTTCAACAGCTACCAAATGGTTGAAGGTCAAAATGACAGTTTCAGTGCAGCTTCAAAGGGCCCTACACGATACCAGACGAGGAATAAGGGTCTTATCTAGCGAAACGATCGGTCATTTTCTAAATAAAATAAAAATGTGTATACTTTTTAATCTCAAACGCTCGTCTTGTGTAGCTCTGCAATGCGCATGCGTACTCTGAGCAGTCCCGTTCGAAACAGTTATGTCGAAAAACTCCCATCTCATTTTCTCCTCCAGCTTCAAAATCGTCCTACATTGCTGCAGAAGTACCGACCCAGTGTTTACAAAGTGAACATGCGAAGAAGGTCAAATACCCTTTATATAAAAAAAAAAAAAAAAGTAAAACAATGATGTAGGACGATTTTGACGTTAGAGGAGAAAATGAGATGAGAGTTTTTCCACATACCCTAACTGTCATGAACCGGAATGCACGCCGAGCCACACAAGACGAGCGTTTGAGGTTAAAAAGTATATAAATTGGAATTTTTTTATTTTTTATTTTTTAGAGAATGACTGATGGTTTCACTAGATAAAACCCTTATTCCTCATCTGGTATCGCGTCGAGCCCTTTGAAGCTGCACTGAAACTCTCATTTTGACCTTCTACCGTTTGGTAGCTGTTGAAGTCCACTATAAGGAGAATAATCCTGGAATGTTTTCATCAAAAACCTTAATTTCTTTTCGACTGAAGAAAGAAAGAACGACGTAAAAGTTGTTGTGTGTAAACCGTGATACAGTTTTATCAGGCTTCTTTCTTTGGTGAATAGAAAGTTCAAAAGAACAACATTTATTTGAAATCGAAATCTTTTGTATAATAAATGTCTTTACTATCATTTTTGATCAATTTAATGTATCCTTACTGAATAAGTAATAATTTTATTTACCACAAACTTTAACTGTATTGTATATTGTTTTATACCGGTGACTTCTGACAGTATTATTTTGGCGCGGAAACAGTCATGACCATTTCTGTAGATGTTTTGAGTTCCTCATGATAAGAGTCCTTTAATAAATGGTTGGTGATGTGAAGTGAGTGGCCAAGTACGGTGACCCATACTCGGAATTAGTGCACTGCATTTAACCCAACCAAAATGCACACACACAGCAGTGAACACACACCCGGAGCAGTGGGCAGCCATTTTTTGCTGCGGCGCCCGGGGAACAATTGGGGGTTCAGTGCCTTGCTCAAGGGCACCTGGTATTGAAGGTGGGAGAGAGCGCTGTACATTCACTCCCCCCACCTACAATCCCTGCCGGTACGAGACTCGAACCCACAACCTTTGGGTTACAAGTCCGACTCTCTAACCATTAGGCCACGACTTCTTTGGAAAGAATGCATTGATATCGGAGGTGTGCGCCTCCCTACAGGATACTATTTTGGGGCTTCTGCGGAGTGCCTTGCTCAAGGGCACCTGGTATTGAAGGTGGGAGAGAGCGCTGTACATTCACTCCCCCCCACCTACAATCCCTGCCGGTACGAGACTCAAACCCACAACCTTTGGGTTACAAGTCCGACTCTCTAACCATTAGGCCACGACTTCCGATGTATGGAAGTATATCACAGCTAAGTTCTATATTCACAGATTATGATAGATGTGGATGACAGGAATGATTGGAAAGAATGCATTGATATCGGAGGTGTCCGCCTAAGCAAGGTATCTGGACTGATCATTACTGTTTTGAAATAACTTTTCACAGTATTTCCAGCCTTCTTCCCCATGACTGCTCAATGGATTCAGTCTGGTCTATTACTTGCCTGTCACTGGAGCTGCTTTCATTGTGCCTCGCCAGGACCTTAATAGTCATGTCTTGGCCCCACATGATAAACATCGGTTTGCCCATGAGCTCCGAAAAATTCAGAGCCGCTAGGGCATTTTCTGCATCATGGTGGTGTTCAAAGTTCACAAAACCATAGCCTTGAGAGTGGTTGATAGTACTTCTGTCTCTGCACACTTGTGCAGTACAGATGGGGCCGAATGGGAGGAATATTGCATGCAGCTCTTGTTCGGTCACGTCTGAGTGCAAATTACACACAAGCAATGACCTTGGTTCATCAGAGCTGCTCTCCCTGGGCTCAGTCTGTTCTTTGTCTTTAGGTTTGCCGTTCCCGTCACAGGCCTCTGTGCACGGCAGGACTTCCCCAAAGTCTGAGAGGGTATCATATATGGCAAACCTATCATTGTACCTTAACTGTCATGTACTGGGCCCATGTGATGTGCACAGGTTTGCCCATGAGCTCCAAATAATTAAGAGCCACTAGGGCATTTTCTGCATCATGGTGCTGTTCAAAAGTCCCAAAACCATTGTCACGAGACCGGTCCGTTCTTCTGCTTCTGCACACTTTAACAGAACGGATGGGTCCGAATGGCTGGAATATTGTATGCAGTACTTGTTCAGTCACATCTGAGTGTAAATCATTGACGAGCAATGACCCCTGCACTTTTGGTTGACCATTATCCTCATCTGAAGACCAATTGTAGGAAGTTGCCATTTTGATTGTCTGTCAAAACTTTTTTTTTAAAAAAGCTATTAGTATAAAGCACAAATACTGTGGAGATGCTTCAGTCAGATCAATCAGTCAAGTAGATGATATGAAATGTTCCTGTGGCTCAGTGGTAGAGCATTGCGTTAACAGCACCAAGGTCGTGGATTCAATTCCCAGGGAACATGCATACTGATAAAAAACGTATAGCCTGAATGCACTGTAAGTCGCTTTAGCGTCTGCTAAATGCATTAATGTAATTTAAAATGACTGTTTTGATGCTTTTAAAGCCTCTGAACGTTCTAAAATTGGAATGACTGTGACGTCACAGATCACGTGACATTCCGGACTGCCTGTGTGACGTCATGTTCCACCCACTGATCTATAATAGAGAAATATATAGTCATATATAGACTAGTGAACACAATTCTGCACAAAATTTGACAGTATAAGTTATCAGAACTTAAATAAATATACACTATATACATAAATGTGCCAAAAATATATACAAATCAGCTATATAAAAAATGTAACAAGAGCAGAGAGCAACAGTAATATAAAATGTTAAGAATAATATACAAATAAAAAATAGAATACATATTCTAAATAGCACAACTCCTTCATCACACAAATGTGAAAACACACTAAAGAGAATCTAATTATTACACTATTGCACTAAGAACAGAAAACACAAACTAAAACTAAAACCTGACCTTTCTGGCCTTCCTTGAAGCAAAATCATCAATGATGTCATCGTAAGAAATCTGCTCCCCTATTGAGTGATTGATACTGATGACGGCAAGGCCAGTGAGCCGTTCCTAGGACATGGTAGACCTCAGGGATGACTTGATCAACTTTAGTTTTGAAAAGCTCCTCTCTGCTTGAGCCACAGTGACTGGCAGAGTAAGTGCAATCCTGAGAGCAGTCCAAAAGTTGGGGTAGATCTCCGATAGATCCTTATCATGCATAAAAGTGATAAGCTCAAGGAGGCTCATGGTCTTTGATGGCAGGTCAGGGAAGTTCTTAATTTCCTGCACAAGCTCTCTACTGTCCAAATCATGATCAGAGATGTTAGTTTATGAAATACAATTTGAAAAGTAGTCTGATTTAAATTATAATTACACAGATTTGAAAATTCCGTTGGCTAATTACAGGGCCTAACGTTAACCCAACTGATGGAAATAAATAATAACTGAACTTGTAACAGTTTTGTTGCAAAGCACAATATTATGGTGAAATTAGATCTCGTGTTTGTTGAGTTAAAACCGAATTATTGTTGTATAAGCATAACAAGCATCATTTCCCATCCCCCCAACACTGTCACGCACGACCAGAAGTCAAGACTAAACCAATTCACCTTGGTCACCACATAATCGTTTTGTATTACCTATTTTTATTAGCCATTTCCCTCAATTCAGAAAAACAAAAATGTGCAGGAACTACAGGCCTGTATTTATAATATTACGAATGAAATGTGCGTTATTTGGAAGAAAGCCGAGGTGTGACTGACTTTAGCCCACTAATTCCATTAGAGTATTGCTCTATACAGTGGATCCCCCGGTTCGCCCGTGCCAAAAACCGCTACTGTGTATGTGTCTGACATGTGAAGCAATCATCAGTGTGCAATAGATTCACACGTTTAGCCTATATCGCTTTTCCTGCCTGAAAATATCAATTCATTTTCTATTTAGTTTAATTCGATATAATATAGTCATTCTTTTTCAGTTTACTGAAAACAACGCTTTTCCAAAGTCCCTGCTCTTTTTGAAAATTATAGATTTGTATGACTTTGTTCATCCAGTAGTAGCCTAATGAAAATACCTATCTTTTACAGTTTTACTTCCTGACTTACAGCCGAAAAATGTGACAACATAGTAAAGTAGGTGTTAGAAAACACTCTCTGTCTGTATTGGTTCCAGATGTTTTCACCCTCCTTTTCTTTCCTCTCCCTCTCTGCTCGCCCTCCCTGTACAGCGCAATGTTGTCTTCTTCGGATTACCCCCTCCTCCATCTGATCTCTCTCTCTTGTATTATGTTTTAATATCTCTTACTCATATTCGAGGTACGCATGCGCACATGTATGCATTAGCTTTTCTTAGTTCAAATGTTCAAACGAGGACACGCTAGCTAGGACTCCAAGGTAATGGGGTTCGTGCTGAACTATGGAGATAGTTCAGCATCCTTCGCCAAGTTTATTCCTAATATGTCCATATTTTCCTGTACATGTGGCCATTTTATATAACATATTCTTGGCCAAAATCCTATATGTATGTCATCTATATTCTCATTGGTTAAAGGGTTGAATCTCCCCTCGACATATGCCTATATAATATCTTTGTATCTATGAATAAAGTTGAAGTATTGAGAATACCATTTGATGTGTGTTTTCTTGCTTCCCGGCCGTATACACTTTAAGGGACTGAGAATTTTCGAGGTGGCAAAGAGATTACAGAGGGACCGTTTGTTAATTAATGACAGTAGGAAAATTAAATAAATCAGATTAATTCTTGAACTCTTTGTGGTGAGATAGCACAGGTACGTCTGCAAGAAGTACTCTTCATCTGGAAAGCATCTGTGTACCAACATCTGATAGACATCTTTAAGACGTCAGTATATATATATATATATATATATATATATGACACACACACAAGCACACATATACATACATGCATACACACAGAAAATGTATTAAATGCAAGGAAAGTGTCTACTTTAATGTTTCAAATGATTTTTGTGAAAACAAAGTATGGGTGAAATAATGTTCCATTATCATGCAGCATAATACATATTTATGTAAAAATAAAACAACATACTTATTCTGACCTGTACTTATTAAAATATATAGAAGAAAAAGTGATCATACTAAATTTTATTACATTTTAATTTATTAAAAACTCTCTAATAAATGGGCAAAACCTAGTGTTTTGAAGGATAGTGGTAAAGATTTAAAATGACAATGAATTAGTTTGGCTGCATCGTGATCGTTAAGTAGAGTCTTTTAATGTCATCTAATGATTCTTGCTCTAAATATGCCTGACAATTGTATTTAGAGCGTTATAGTGGGTGTCTGATGTAAATCATGGTAAAAATGTATGATGGTCATTATTTTTTGCTCAGAAAAAATATTAAACCGGTCACATTCTAATGTATGAAAAATTTAAAGCTTTATTAAACTTATTTTATTAAAAAAAAATATATATATTTATATATATATATATATATATATATATATAGTTGTTTGTATGCTCACCAACTTGGATGTCCAAGTGAACACGCTATTTTAAAAATTCAAAAGCTGTCTGAATAGGTAGCCAGTGAATATTAGACTGTGCTTTTCACCGTAAATATAGGAAAAATTATATATTTCTCTCTCTATTTCTATATATATATATATATATATATATAGAGAGAGAGAGAGAAATATATAATTTTTCCTATATTTACGGTGAAAAGCACAGTCTAATATTCACTGGCTACCTATTCAGACAGCTTTTGAATTTTTAAAATAGCGTGTTCACTTGGACATCCAAGTTGGTGAGCATACAAACAACTATGCAGAAATAGCTGCCAAAGACAAGCTGACGGAGCTGCAGCTGAGGGTACGACAGCTGATGGAGCAGGTGGATCAGGTCCAGAAAGAGCAGAACTATCAGAGGGTAAGTGTCCTACAGGTTTGAGAGTTGAGATCCGGCTTATTCAGCACCAGTGACAGAACATGGTGTTTTCTGTCATCCTTGCTCAAGAGTGATCCCAATCTGAATCGTTTTCTTCTTCCAGTATCGCGAGGAGCGCTTCAGACAGACCAGCGAGAGCACCAATCAGAGGGTCCTGTGGTGGTCTATCGTCCAGACGCTGATCCTGGTGGCCATTGGGTTTTGGCAAATGAGACATCTGAAGAGCTTCTTTGAGGCCAAGAAATTAGTATAGAACTGTATTTGGATTTGTTTTTTTAAGTTGTGATTGTACAGTACACACAGCATTTTGAAGATTGCCTGCTTCATGTGTGGTCAAGACTGCTGAAAATTCAACATGCTCTCAGTTCAGTTCCCTCCCTGAATTCCCATTTTTATCCTGCATTGACGTTTGTTTTACGCTGCTCGTTTCAGTGCCACACCCCGTGTAATGTGAACCTGGTTTCTGTTCAGAAATGCATTACAGTGTGTTACTGTTTGGAGGTGATAGGCACTCAACAAAAGCAGTTTACTGGATTCAAAATGCAAATTGCATAGTGGTTGCCTTACCATATTTTATAGCCCCATAACTTGATAAGATAATATTTTACATTTGTTTCAGAAAGCTGATGAAGACATTAACTATTAAACTGGGCTGCAAGTGTGATTTAGTTTTTTGATTATTTGCTTAAACTTTTACAAAACAAAGTTTATCCTGGTGGCAGGTGTAAATGTATTCTGTTGTTTGGTTATGCAGTAATTAGTATGATATTTAAAGTTTTGCTCCGAGTGAATGTTGCTTGGTGTTTACGTTTTTATTCTTTATACAGTTGGTTAATGTTTTCTCTTCTATACCCCAATTGCATTTTGTGTTGAGCATCATTGCGGTCAAGAACACTCGGATCATGTTAGTATTAGGCCTTCCCTTTTGATAGCTACAGTTTGATGTTGACCTCAGTGAATACATGTGTACATGTTTAAAACGTATATATATCCAAATAAATGGCAAAATGTAGTTATCAAAAGGTAAAATGTTTAATTATGAGTACTTGGCACATTGAAATAAATAATATCAAAAGGTTTTATATTTTTCGTGAATGCTTAAATCCCCATTTCTCTTGACAGTTTTGCTTCGTTTCCTTTGAAAACTGTATTGACGTCTTACACATACATTATCATCTTTTCACATCTTTTTTTCCTATTGTAAACTCCTCAGGTTGATGTAGAGATTTCAGTGGTTTATTCACTCTTAAATTGATCTGCCCAGAATACACTGTAAATCTAAGAAGGTACCATGCCTTTGTCATAATGTTGTATTTTCTTCAAAAAATAAGACTGCATGTTGTTTTGAGTATTTTGATAGATTATTGCTCGTTGAATTACTTTGCTATCACATTTGTATGGTTTCTTTTTTTTTTAATAATTTTTTTTTGTCGTTTTAGTTTATAAGCAGCCACCGGGAAATGGGTTTACTTTTTATGTAGGGATACGGGAGGGAAAGTTTTGTTGGTGAGAAATCTACCCCATAATTGCACTCAGAAATAAAGTTTCCCACTCTCCCCAACGTTGGCTTAGTTGTCTACATAATTGTTTGGGTAACATGGCTTCTACAAGTAATTTGAGGAATGAGTTTACTAGAGGAGTGTTATACACCATGGCCATATTGACTAATGATATGAAACACTTCTGTTGCCAGTCATCATACAGTACATTACAAACATCTATTTAGGCTAAATGAACTGACACCGTTTTCATTAAATCCTGTAGAGGACATTATATTTGAGTGAATTTCTCTGAGACCACAGTTTGAAGTCTGGATGTCCTGTATGAGCACATTCATGGCTTTTTATGGATATCAAATATTTGGAGATTTGGTCTTTAAATATGACATATTGACAGAATGATCAAATTTAGCACTCTTGCACTCTAAAAAATGCTGGGTTAAACACAACCCAGTGCTGGGTAAAATAGGGACAAACCCAGCAATTGGGTTGTTTTGACCCAGCGGTTGGGTTAAATGTTTAACCCAACCTTCT